ACGCACACACACAAACACAGTCAGAGAGAAAGTTCACCTCCCTTGGGCTGGGGTAGGGAGACGAGTGGAGGGGAAGCCAGGACAGTAATGGTTAATATAACCTGGGGGCTAAACTGGGGACTTTACCACCATTTCAAAACTGTTTCTTTAGGAAATACACTCTGAGCTCCAAATTATCATGAACTTTTGCAATACAATCCTATTAGGAATTGGGGGCTGCCTACAATTACTTCCTGATAAATTGTAAACATGTTGTTATAAATTTGTAAATGTTGGCCAGGCATGGTGGCTAATGCCTGTAATTCCAGCACTTTGGGAGGCTGAAACAGGAGGATCTCTTGAGCTCAGGAGTTTGAGACCAGCCTCTATGCCAAGAAACCCTATCTCTAGGAAATACAAAAACTAGATGGGCGTGGTGGCACATGCCTGTGGTTCCATGGGAGGATCACTTAATCCCAGGAGGTCAAGGTTGCAGTGAGCAGTGATGGTACCACTACACTCCAGCCTGGGCAACTAAGACCCTGTCTAAAAAAAAAAAAAAATGGAAATGGTAAGCACTGGATTTATGAAACATCTATATTCTAAAGAAAGCAACCATGTGGACTATACCCAAGCTTGTCAAAAGTCTGTTTACTAACCAGAACTTGGTTGGTCACATGTGTAGACTCTGTAAAAATCATGATTCAGTGAATTAGGGCCCTGACCCAGACTTTCTTCCCTGAAGGTTTAGAAACTAAGACACCCTTCTGATGATTCCAGCAGAAAAATCTTAAGCAGAGTTGATTTGTATTTTTTTCTTTTTTTTGAGACGGAGTTTCGCTCTTGTTACCCAGGCTGGAGTGCAAAGGCGCGATCTCGGCTCACCGCAACCTCCACCTCCTGGGTTCAGGCAATTCTCCTGCCTCAGCCTCCTGAGTAGCTGGGATTATAGGCACGCACCACCATGCCCAGCTAATTTTTTTTTTTTTTTTTGTATTTTTAGTAGAGACGGGGTTTCACCATGTTGACCAGGTTGGTCTCGATCTCTCGACCTTGTGATCCACCTGCCTCGGCCTCCCAAAGTGCTGGGATTAAAGGCTTGAGCCACCGCGCCCGGCTCATTTGTATTTTTTTCTTACCATTTTAGAACCCCAGTCAGTGTACTGGATTTTAATTATTCTAAGGCACAGATCTGTATTTTCAACAGACTACCAAACAGGATCTTCTCAGCTCACCTGAAATGTATGTCTTACTGTTCATTTATTTTATCTCAGTGTCAAGGTGTCCTCCTCAGGAAGGCTTGAATTTCCTTTCTCCTCTATTCAATGTTGTTTACAAGAGGAACAACCTCCCAGGCACTACTGTGATTCTGACCCTATGACTCAGGGCTTTTGATTCTGCTGGCACATTTTAGTAGTCTCAAGCCTGTTGCAGGCTCCCTACTCCAGGCCTAAACAAAAGTCTCCTTGGAAAGCGAAATTCAAAAGCAGAGCTCACCCAGCCTTCACCAGGCTGCCCTACTTGACAGCCTGTAACCTGTCCAAAGCCGCCCTTGGTTTCCTGTGGCCTCCAGAAAGAAATCTCCTTATGAATGCTGTCCAGCAACACTGGCTGGCTGTGTACATTAACCCCTTCTCACCAGCTTCCCCACATGGAGCAGCAGAGCCTTAATGACCTAAGAAGCATACCAGATAAAAAACAAGTTCCAGAATTGGCAGAGATAATGGTAAATCCTTAGGATTTAAACCTGATGGCCAGCAGAAAACACACCCCAATGGCCAAACCTCCAATTTCAAGACAAAATCGTACTCATTCACAAAGTGATTAAAAAAAGAAGAAGAAAATTTATCTTAGGCAAGGATAGTAGTATATTGTGAAGAAGCCAACCAAACTTATTACACATACAAATAATATGCAAAAGCATGTTAAAAAAAGAAAAAAGATAGTACCAATAAAATGAGTCCACAGAGAAAAGTAATCCTTAAAATAGATAATTCGAAATATTTATGTCAAGAACCAGGAGTGGTGGCTAATGCCTGTAATCCCAGCACTTTGGGAGGCTTAGTTAGGAGGATCACTTGAACCCAGGAGTTCAAGACCAGCCTGGGAAACAGGGAGATCCCATCTCTACAAAAAAATAATAAATAAAAATTAGCTGGGTATGGTGGTATGCACCCTTGGTCCCAGCAACTTGGGAGGCTGAAGCGTGGGATATCACTTGAGCCCAGGAGTTCCAGGCTGCAATAAGTCTTGACTGTACCTCTGCACTCCAGCCTGGGAGACAGACTGGGACCTTGTCTCCAAAGAGAAAAAAAGAAAAAGAAATATTCATGCCAAGGAACGGGCTTTTGCCTAGGTACTAATGTTCAGGAAGCAGAAATATGAAAACAGAATGTAGTCAGCTGTGAGAAAAATTAGGCAAAGGAGGAAAGTAGCCGTTTTTAGGCAAAAGGAGGAAGGGCAGAGAAGACTGACTATGAGTAAAGAAAAATACTATGAGAATATCTGACAGTTAAAGAAACTTTTTTTTTTTTTTTTTTTTTGAGATGGAGTCTTGCTCTGTCGCCAGGCTGAAGTACAGTGGCGAGATCTCCACTCACTGCAACCTCCGCCTCCTGGATTCGAGTGATTCCCCATGACTCAGCCTCTCGAGCGGCTTGGACTACAGGAAGGAATGCGCCACCAGACCCAGCTAATTTTTGTATTTTTAGTAGAGACAGGGTTTTACCTTGTTGGCCAGGATGGTCTCGATCTCTTGACCTCGTGATCCACTGGCCTTGGCCTCCCAAAGTGCTGGGATTACAGGCGTGAGTCACCACACCCAGCCAGGAACTTTAAATAATTTACTTAGTACACTGACTTGCTGGACGATTTTACTTATTCAATTCACTCAACAATGCTTTTCTCTGGAGCCCCTGTGACATAGTTTGGCTGTGACCCCATCCAAATCTCATCTTGAATTGTAGTCCCTATAATCTCCAGTGTCATGGGAGGGACCCGGTGGGAGGTAATTGGATCATGGGAGCAATTTCCAAGCTGCTGTTCTCGTGATAGTGAGTGAGTTCTCACGAGATCTAATGGTTCTATAAGGGGCTTTTCGCCCCGTAGTACTGCTCTTCTCCTTGCTGCCCCCAATGCGAAGAAGGATGTGTTTGCTTCCCCTTCTGCCATGATTGTAAGTTTCCTGAGCCCTGCCCCCAACCGCGCTGAACTGTGAGTCAATTAAACTTCTTTCCTTTATAAATTACCCAGTCTCAGGTATGTTTTTTTTTTTTTTTTTTTTTTTTTGAGACGGAGTTCCGCTCTTGTTACCCAGGCTGGAGTGCAATGGCGCGATCTCGGCTCACCGCAACCTCCGCCTCCTGGGCTCAGGCAGTTCTCCTGCCTCAGCCTCCTAAGTAGCTGGGATTACAGGCACGCGCCACCACGCCCAGCTAGTTTTTTTGTATTTTTAGTAGAGACGGGGTTTCACATGTTGACCAGGATGGTCTCGATCTCTCGACCTCGTGATCCACCCGCCTCGGCCTCCCAAAGTGCTGGGATTACAGGCTTGAGCCACCGTGCCCGGCCTCAGGTATGTTTTTATTAGCAGCAAGAGAATGGACTAATACGCCCCACTATGTGCCAGCTATTTTCTACAAAAGTCACATTTTGAGACTTGAATTTCAAAGACCTGAAGTCAGTAACCTAAGAATAATCTAAAGATTTCCGAAAAGGTCTGTGTGCCTTTTTGTTAAACACAAACAAACATTGGAAATACAACGGACAAGCTACCTATGCGACTATGGAGAGAAAAGGAAGCAGCTGCAGTGGTTGCTTCCTTTGCCTATTTTCATTCATTCTCTCTTAGACCCAATCAACATCTACTAATTGTCTTCTAGGTCTCTTGCTTGGCTTTATTCAGGACAAAAAGATGACTAGGATTCTTCATGGAGCTTAAAACAAAACAGAGAGCATCAGATATGCCAATAATTTAAGCATATCACAGCATAACCGGATGGTCAGAATAGGAAGTAAACACTTCTGACTAGGTAATTGTAGGAGCTTCACGAAACCAAAGACTCCTGAGGAGCTGGATCATCAAGGATGGACAAGATTTTAATAAGAGGGATGGAGTAGGTATTCCACAGGTACAAAGTGCACATACGAAAGTGAGAAACAGGCCAAGTCCAGTGACTCACACCTGTAATCACAACACTTTGGGAGGCAAAGGCAGGAGCATCGTGCCCAGGAGTTCAAGACCAGCCTGGGCATGACGGCAAAACCCCGTCTCTATAAAAAACACAAAAATTGGCCAGGTGTGGTGGTATGCATCTGTAGTTCCAGCTACTCAAGGAGGCTGAGATAGGAGGACTGCTTAAGCCTGGGAGGTTGAGACTGCAGTGAGCTATGATCACATCACTGCACTCCAGCCTGGGTGAAAGAGCAAGACCCCATCAAAAAATAAAAATAGATTTTAAAAATCAAATTTTTTAAAAAGTAAGAAAGAATAGTTACGTGTTTTCTACATTTTTCCTATATCCACTTGAGGTCAGCAGTTAGCCATCAACAGGTAAAATGACCAATCTTCAAAGAGTGGCAACTTCTAAAACTTTGGAGGTTTCACCCGACAAAGGCACCATACATAAATGTCTGCATTTCAGTAACTTACAGATTTCTTACACCTAGCAAATAAATGTCACTGAATTGGCTAATTTCCTGCCCCATGTTTCCTGCTGTGACTTTTGAGCTTGTGCCTGGAGGCCCAGGACCTCTCTGTTCCATGCCTTCCTCCTAGCACCTACATTGCCACTCGTTCAAATTCTTTGAATTGGCTACTAAAATAAATTAACTACTTCAAGCTTGTATTGCAAATACCCATTCCAACTGTATGCTAAAAGAAGGCTGCACTTGAGAATAACTTAATATACATTTTCTAAACGATTCCCTTACCATATGTTTTTCACCCCTGCATTCCTAACTCACCAGGCTGTTGAAGGTTAATTGCAATGATGCATGCAAAAGTGTCTGGCACCTGTTACCTGGAATGCTGATGTCTGAGTCCAAGTTGCAGCTGGCCATCTGGCGCTTCATACGGCTCTTCTACCTCATACACATTTGCATCAGTGTCCTCCATGCTGCTGGCATTCTGCCATTCCAACTTGGGAGTTTTCCCTATAGCCATAATAAACGGCAAGTTCTCATACTCTGGTATTTCCTCATAATGGCGTATATTTTCATACTCTGGTGCACAGAGGCTTGTAACAGATTTGCAAGGTGCCTGAGATGATGACTCCCGGGAGAGCATTTGGTCATCCAAAGACTCAGCTCTCAGGCCATTAGCCACACTGGTCTGGCTCCGGGACTTCTTCCTCTTCTTTTGAGATTCCAGGATATAGTTATCTGTAGAATACGCCTTCATGGGTTTACTTCTCTTCTCCTCGCCTACCAACAAGCCGTGCCAATCACTTTCAATCCCCTTCTGCTCCCCACCAGAGAGGTGGCCTGTGGTGGTGTCTGCAAATTGGCTACTTTTGGACCAAAATTTCTGAAAGTCACTCTTCATGAAGCAGATGGACAGTTTCATGTTGAGCAACTTTTTAAAAGAGTTTTTCTTTGTAGAGTCTTTGCAAGGCTTAGTGCACTTTTCTATATCCACAGCAGATAACGATTTTGCTCTGGGCTTGGTTAGGGCTGTTGAAGGCTCACTGTTTGAGGATATGGTGACAGACTTTAAGGATTCTGGGTTCCCTGAAAAGGGTAAAATAGGATGAGGCAATTTCCACACTGGTTTTTCTGAAGCCCGCTTAGGCTTATCGAAAGGAGGATGACACACCACGGTTTTGGGCACACAAATGCTGAAGGTGATTTCTTTCTAGACCCTTCTCTGAACTTTTTTCTTCAACGGAATAAGAACCTTTTTCCACAAGCTCCTCAGAGGCAGCCTTTTTAAGCACTCCTGTAGCAGGCAAGCTGTGTCTCTGAGGTTTTTTGGGGACAATTCGTAGGGAACTTTCCTCTTTTATAACAGATTCCTTTTGCATTTGAGGAGCAGAAACTCCCAGGTTTCTCCCAGATTGCAACTGTTCATTCCAAGTTAATTTGAGCTGCTTAGGCAGGCTCATAGATAGAGTACTACATCTTATAAAACTGGTCCCTTCATCCACAGCAAGTGACGTACTGGAACCATCTACAGTTGTGCTATCAGAACTCAAATTAGAGTCTGTATCAAAAGAAGGGGCTATTTTTTCAAATGAAGATGTTTCATGACAACTGGCTTTTTGTGAATTCACGAAGTCCTGTGTGTCACTGTGAGATTCCACATTCAATTCACTTATATTTCCTAGCTTCACTTTATTTACCTGTTCCTGCTTACACAAAACATTCTGATGAAGAACACTGATTTTGCTGATTTTCAAACTATTTTCAGTAAGACAGGAAGAGCTACTGTCTGAATTCCCTGGTTCTTCAGTGCTTTCACTAGGAGTATCTACATACTTCTGGCGTAACAGACGAGCAGTTCGTGTCTTTCTGGGCTTGGGAGTTGGAAATTTGGGGACATATGGTACTAAATGAATTTCTAAGGGACCAAGTTCTTTGACTTCTGATGTCTTACTAACTCCATCTGAAGATATAAAAGTACTCGTTTGCCCATTTTCCAGAGCCTCTAGTTCAGATGATTGAAAGCAATTATTGCTTTTTTCACTATCATCCTGGAAAGTTTCAAAGTTTTCACATTCATCACTAGGAAGCTGTAAGTGGCAACTGTGATGATCAGGAACTTTTTCAAAGCTGGATGGGGAAGGTGACAAATCTGCAAATTCAAGTCTGATTTGTTCGTTTGAATTACAGTCACCATTCATTTCTGGGTTGTCTGTGGGCCTGTGCTTCTGTGAGGAAATAAAAGGTGGCATTCGGTGTACTAAGGCATCTTTGAGCTTCTCTTCTAGGATGCTTGCCTTTAAAATGACCCCACCATGGTTCTTGGCCTTTTCCCCACAGGAATCACATTTACTACTAGTTTTTATAGTCAAACACTCATCAATTTTACTGTTTTCTAAATTTTCATTCATTTCCAGGGGCTCTAAAACAAGCTGCTTTACACACAAATTCTCTCTATGGCCAAGCTTATGGATACATTTAGAACTGCAGGAACACATTGGTGAAATACAATCGCTGCTCTGATCGCTTTCATATTTACAATTAGAAGTGTCAGTGCTTTCAGCTAATTCCTGTTTATGCCCTTCCAGGTTCACCATGATTTTCCTTGATGGTGACTGTCCAACGTCTCGAACAGGGGAGCTCTTCAGGACTTTTGGTTTCGGGGCTATTGCTGGTTTCATTTTCTTTGTTGACTGTGGAATACTAGAAATCACAATGTCAGGTTTAGGTGCAATAGGAGGTGGAGCTGGCTTATTATTTGCCACAACAAACCTGGGCTTGGGGGCCACTGGTGGCTTCTTAATCTCTAGAAAGGAAAAAATAACAATTTGATGTCAAAATAACCAAAGGACAAGATAATACATGATTATATTTGATAGCATTTTTTACTTTTAACAATATGAACTTGCATTTTACTAAGTAGAGTATGTTACATTACATAGTATCAATATTACTCCTGAAAATTCCTTAAATTATCCTTCAATTTCATACACAGCTTCAGGTCTATTGTACAGTTTTAAATAAATCCAATACAGTTTTTTTCTCCAACTTTGGAACTAACTACCATATCTTTCATTGACACTAAATGAAATAACTGACTTCAGTTTGGGACCCATGCAGTTCTTCAATTCGTTTGCCAAGTGCTGAGAGTTGAATTTGCCTAAGTTAGATGTAGGATACAACTCTTTAAACTTCTCATATGAATAAGCAGTAGTAGTCTTCTACCTCAAGGATAATAGAATAGAGTTGTATAAATGCCTTTTATCAATGATCTGTCTACCTCAATAGAACCCCAAAACAATCTTAAAAAAGGAAGACAGAGATCAGAAAGTTTCTAACTTAAAAACTGAAAATTAATTCTTTGGTATTATTTAAGGCTCATAATAAAGCTAGTTTTTTTCCTTCAAGTTATTGATTGGAATTTTCATTATATTCCTTCATGGAGCTGTATTTTTTTAAAAGTCACATGTCTACACCCTACCCAAAAGTGAATTAATCAGAATTTCTGGGGATAGATCCTGGACATCTGTATATCTTTTAAGTTCCACAGGTGATTATGTTGTTTATCCTTCATTAATAACCACTGTTCTAACACATTTTTAAAATAACCACAATTTCTAGTGTAGTAATTCTTCCTAGACATTTGACACCTATTACACATGCTGTGTCAGTACAGATCTGCTCCTATACTATAGGAACCTAGTAAAAGCTTCATACAAAAGACCTATAAAACGAAAAGATAAATAAAGCCTGTATATCTGTAAGTTCCTTTATGTTCTTCCATCTCCACTGTCATGTTATAGACCATATTTACCCAAGGAGATGTGAGATAAAAAATATTTTATCTTTTATGTTTATATTTGTTCCTTTGACAGGATCTAACACTTAATAAAAACTTCATTTGCTGAAAAAACTTTTCAAAATATCTGCTGCAAAGGATGGCTGGACATTGTTTAATTACTTGAAAATACAGAGGCTCTGATATTTCATTTGGTGATGACTTTCTTTTGAACAAAGGAAATCAGTCATGACACTTGGGAAGCTATTACATGGAACTGAGATTTTTTAGAAAAGGAAGAGTAGGGTGCTCTACTTCCTTTTACCCAACAAGGAAGAATGCCCTAAATCTCTCCTTCTATGTGTGCAATAAGAATTATATGATGATGGCTGGGCGTGGTGGCTCAAGCCTGTAATCCCAGCACTTTGGGAGGCCGAGGCGGGTGGATCACGAGGTCGAGAGATCGAGACCATCCTGGCCAACATGGTGAAACCCTGTCTCTACTACAAATACAAAAAATTAGCTGGGCATGGTGGCACGTGCCTGTAATCCCAGCTACTCAGGAGGCTGAGGCAGGAGAATTGCCTGAACCCAGGAGGCGGAGGTTGCAGTGAGCCGAGATTGCGCCATTGCACTCCAGCTCCAGCCTGGGTAACAAGAGCGAAACTCCGTCTCAAAAAAAAAAAAAAAAAAATTATATGATGATATATGTTTTCTCACTCAATTTCTAGGTGTAATGTCATCATCAATTTAAAAAAATATTTTCAAAATAATACAAATTCCTATACTACATAATTTCAGCTGTTAAATAAGCATAGTTAGTTTTGTATGAGTTTTTTAGGCAGAAAATAACTGTAAAACCCTTCAAAGCCTAGAGGTGATAAAGGTTGCTGTAAATGTCTATCAAATTAACCCTCCATTTATTAAGTCAAGTCATAAGAGAAAGGATGAATGCCTTAGGCCTCTTCCCAACTGCCCATCTTACTCAATAAAAACTGACAGACTGTCAAGTTGATTTCATTTTTGTAACCAATCTCAAAACATCCTACCTCTGGGATTTTTAAAAGAATTTTTTAAAAAATTAGTTTTGGCAGCCTGGCACAGTGGCTCATGCCTGTAATACCAGCACCTTGGGAGGCCAAGGTGGGAGGACTGCTTGAGCTCAGGAATTGCACACCAGCCTCGGCAACACAGTGAGACCCCATCTCTATGAAAAATAAATATTAGCTTTGTAAAACGAAAAGTTCTTGAGGTCGGCTGTACAACATGAACATACTTAACACTTCTGAACTACACACTTAAAAATGAGTAAGATGGTAAATTTATTTTACATGTTATTTTACCACAGTGGGAAAAAAAACTTCATCTCATCAAATTAATCTCTTACTTTCTGAATCTTAAAACCTTGTCAGAAGCTTCAGGGTCATTTAAATATCATTTTTTAAAAATCTCTGGTACCAGTTTTACTCTTTTTAAAAAATGTGTTTTGTATACAAATCTGCTCCTAAGAGATAAAATTCCTGTTCTAGTGTCACAGAAATTCAATTAATTACATATGAGCTGGAGTTGATTCCCAATAAATACAGCAAAGCACTACTATGTATATAAAGCCCTCAATGCATACTCACTGAATTCAATTAATAACCACCAACTTGGGCTTGCCACTGTTAATTAACTGTGTATTGGAGTAAGTCAAAGACAGAACTCAGGGAACTGGCTAACCTAATTGTGGGCCTTGTGCAGACCTGGCTGCCTCACTTTCCTTCCTTATAAATGGGGGAGTTGAACAGGCCTTTAAAGCCAGTAGGAATCTGAGATGATAATTTCTGAGATACCAATTTCAGGAGAACCTTGATGTGCTGTGGCCTCTTTTTCCTGTATTGGTGTTTTTTCAGTGCACCTTTGTCTCTCTTTAGCACAAGATGCAACCCCCAGAAGGAGAAGCACTTTGTCTCATTCACTGATGTAGTCCAGTGCTAAAAACAGGGCCTGGGAATAATCAGAGCTGCCACATACACATAATCGTTTTTTTGGTTTGTCTTTGTTCTTTTTTTTTTTTTTTGAGACGAAGTCTCTCTTTATTGCCCAGGCTGGAGTGCAAAGGCATGAGCCAGGTCACCACAACCTCAGCTTCCTGGGTTCAAACAGTTCTCCTGCCTCAGCCTCCCAAGTAGCTGGGATTACAGACGCCTGCCACCATGCCCCGCTAATTTTTGTATTTTTAGTAGAGATGGGGTTTCACCATCTTGGCCAGGCTGGTCTCGAACTCCTGATCTCGTGATCCACCCGCCTTGGCCTCCCAAAGTGCTGGGATTACAGGTGTGAGCCACCATGCTGACAAACATACTTTTAAATATATCTCCAAAACAGAAAAATTCCTGCTTTAAAAATAATCACATACAAAAAAATTTACATCTATTTTAATGTGGAATAACATTTTGGAAAGTTAGCAGGAATGAACTTCAATAGGATTATTGACTAATTCCTTAATTATTAATAAGAACAAGTGTTCAGCTAAGTCGCTAGTATAGCAATATTTGAAATCCTTCATTATTATTTTTTTTTTCATGGCTCTATTTTGGAAGAAACACAATTCAAAAAATAATAAGCAATTATATTATGGTCTGCTCCAATGTCAAACTTGAAATAAGTGCATGATGTTTGGCAACGAATCTAGCACCTCTGGATCTTAATAATGTATCAACAGTCAGACTCAACGCTTCTTAGAGCAAAGCAGCAAATCTTTTATTTACACAGCTGTTTGGCTCCAGGGAAATATAAGGTAAGAAAGTAAAGCACTAGTACCATTTTACTAACTATTACAAACATACTCGTCATCTGTTACACACAGATGGCTGTGGTTCATGTGTACACTCTCTGGCTACTGGACTAGCCAAAATGCAAAGCACAGACAATCAGACAGTGACCTGCACATGTTCAAAAAGACACAAAACACATGTTCAAATAGACACATCTATAATTCTCTCTCCTTTTTTCTTTTCCTTTTTTTTTTTTTCTCCCTGAGATGAAGTCTCACTCTGTCACCAGGCTGGAGTGCAGTGTCGAGATATCAGCTCACTGTAACCTCCGCCTCCTGGGTTGAAGTGATTCTCTTGCCTCAGCCTCCTGAGTAGCTGGGACTACAGGCATGTGCCACCAAACCTAGCTAATTTTTGTATTTTTAGTAGAAACGGGTTTTCACCATGTTGGCCAGGATGGCCTCAATCTCTTGACCTCATGATCCACCCGCCTTGGCCTCCCAAAGTGCTGGGAACACAAGCGTGAGTCACTGCACCAGGAGTTTTCTTTTCTTTTTCTTTTTTTTTTGAAACGGAGTCCTGCTCTGTCACCCAGACTGGAGTGCAGTGGTGCGATCTCCACTCACCACAACCTCGGCCTCGCGGGCTCAAGCGATTTTCCTCTCAGTCTCCCAAGTAGCTGGGACTATAGGCGCATGCCACCACACCCAGGTAATTTTTGTATTTTTAGTAGAGACAGGGTTTTGCCATGTTGGTCAGGCTGGTCTTGAACCCCTGACTTCAAGTGATCTGCCCACCTCAGCCTCCCAAAGTGCTGGGATTACAGGCATGAATCCTAGCACAGTGCCCAGCCTCTCGTTTTTGATATACAGCTCAAAATAATTCTAAAATCTCCACTAAGGGCAGATTCTTTTATAGATGCAGAAGAACAAAGCAAGCTTTTCTGTAGGATACATATAACCTAGATGTTCTGCATCATTCCTCTGATTTTCTTAAATTAAATCAACCCTTCCAAATACCACAGATTAGATTCAAAAACAAAAATCCCCTTCCCTAACTTCAAATAACCTTCCTAAAAAGTTTTAATAAATTTGACTACTGTTCCCAAAAAAGCACCATAAGCAGCCTGTAAGAACTATGTATACATAATTTTATAAGAATGAGTGGTTCTCTTCCATATTCCCCATCTAGACACCAGAAAGAATTATAATAAATCCAACAGATGGATGAGCAAAAAAGTAGTTAATGCTTCTCAGCCAGCCATACTAAAAGCCAACCAACTCAGCTAGGCACAGGAAGTGTCCCACTTTAAACACCACAAAAATCTCTGTGGATTTATTTAATTGCAAAGTTGATAAAATACAAAAATAGCTTGCATTATGTTAGGATAATTCAAATGAAAGAATCATGAACTTCCGTCTGGGCCCTAGAAACTGAGTTTACATAAATGTCAAATTACATGCTTCTGTGCCTGTTCCTTATAAACTGTTAGGACTGGAATTGAAAACCAGTGCATATAAAATGTGGCTACTTTAAATACATTTGACACCTCCAAAGAGGAAAGAATTAAAACTGCCTCGAAGGATTTTAAAATTTCCATCCACTTTTAATTTAAATCACTTTCTTGAACGAAGGCAAAGCATAGAAATTTAGGATGAAAATAATTTATCTTATGTAAGTATAAAGCCTCCCTTTGATAAAGAAAAGAGAGTTTATAAAGATATCTCATATAAGTGCATGTAACATCAAAAAGGAAAGACCCATAGAACACCTACTTCTTGCTTTCTCTTCCTATTGGCTAACTTCTTGTTTCGTTCGTTGTAATCTGATCGCACGGAGCAATGCAACACTACAATATCTCTAGGCTTTAGAAATAATACAAATCAGAACATTTGAGTGCTGTTTGACAGTTTCAAGTTGCAGGAATTTTAAACAAATGCCAAAAAAAACAATGAAAATTTAATCTGATACTTAAGTGCTGATTCTAGAAGTAACTTTGAGAGGAAGCTTTAAACTATTTCACTGTAAAATTTCTAATGAAAGTTTGTTTCAACGTGGACAAAAACGTAAAGGAATCCATAACACTCTACTTAATACATAAGTTGTCGTTTAAAAATTAACCTATGTACTTACAAAGCGAATTTAACACCACTTTGGTAATTATTTTGTAAAATACAAATTGTTCCTTAAATATGTTCAGAAACACAACGTCTAGAATTGCTGAAAATCTACACAAAGATAGAGTTTTTGTCATTTGAAGGAGAAAGAACTACGGGAGGCAAATAAGGCTTTGTTTACCCTAATCAGGTAGAAATAAACAAAAATCCTTAATTGGGTGCAGACGAGCAAAAAAAAAAAAAAAAAAAAAAAAAAAAAATACTATCAACGATCTCAACTCCTCTGCTTCTCAGGTAATAGAGGTAAAACCACCAGGACAGGACAGACAACGTCTACACTTCTTTAACATGGGTAAAGGTTTACCAGCAGATACAAGGTTGAAAGCGGCTCACTTAGTGGCCAAGATGAACACTCTGAGAACACTGCCTTTGCCTAGAATAACTTATTTCTTAACATGGGACTCGACTCTATTTTCGCACGCAAAGGCGAAGTCCTCGCCTTGCTGGAGAGATGAGAGAACGCCCTTTACACGTCGCGTTTCACCTGGTTCAGAGTCCCTAACAGAGTCTCTCCTGGAAGGGCGGTCCCGAGAGATCCCGGGTTTCCAACAGCCCCTTTGGGCAGGAAGAGACGAGAAATCCCACAGCGAACCCATTAGCTCCGCACTTGCCGAGGTGCTCGGCAAAGGTACGGGGCACACAACGCGTCTTCCCGGCGATGAAAGTTGCTCGCGAGCCCAAGCCCAGCAGCGCTCGCCAAACTTTCCAGCGGCAGCGCGAGCGCCGTCACTTACCGGCGGCAGAAGTCATGATTCCCCGGTGCGACTCGCTTCCCCGCTCGCGCCCCTCAATCCATGTTCCCTTTTCAGTCCATTGTTCCCACAGTTCGAGCAGAGGAGAAAAGCCCCCACAGCGCCCACATTCCGTCCCACCGCCCAGTGGCGCAGCCTGCGCGCCGCACAAAGGATGCGGCAGGCTTCAGCGACCCTGAGGCGCTCCTGGGCGCGAGCCGCCGGGGGCGGGCGGGCGAGCACGAGCACCGCCCCGCCGAGCTCCAGGCGGACGGCCAGGCGCGGGCACGAGCAGTGCTCTCCGCGGCTCCGCAGGCGCGTGTCCTGTTCGAGCTTCAAAAATCAGCCTTGCTCCGGGCGCCCCCTGGTAGTCGCGGCCGTAAAAGGCAGACAAAAGCCCTAGCCTCCTCCAATCGGAGGGCTCGCGCTTCAGCTCGCTCCCGCCTCTCCCACGCACACGCTCACTGTCTGCTCCAATAAACTGACTCGAAAAGGGGGCGTGAACGGCGAGGCATCTTGGGAATTGTAGTTTTCTAGACTCACGGGACTGGCAGAAGCTGGAGCGTCCGTGCCGCCTGTTCTCCCGCCTTCATTTCCCATCGTGCTGAGGCGGGTGGCATGGCGGAGAAGGATGACACCGGAGTTTGACGAAGAGGTGGTTTTTGAGGTAAGGGGAAAATGGCGGTGGGTGTGGATTGCCTTGGTTTGAGAAGGATGAGACGGAAATCGAGGAGGCAAGGCGTTCCCGGAGCGAAGGATTGGATGACGCGCCCCCGCTGGCCCCGACCACCGAACCCCAGCGATTTCGGGGCCTAGTGCCCGCCGTCGCCTGACAGGTGTAGCCTGAAGCGCCCTGGCCGTGGCCGGCCTTTATCTCGGGCCCGCCCAGAATTCCCAGACAGTGCCGGGTTGCCATGCCCTGGGCTGAAGCGGCTTCTCTTCCTTCCCTGGAATGGATGCGCCGCGGGGGTACTGCGCCCGGCTGGGGCGGGTCCGAATCCTGCGTTTTAGAGACAACTTAGCCTCCTCCTTTTCCATCCACGATTCTTTTGGGGTCAGTATCTAGAAGTGCTTCGGGTCGCTGTTCACCGTCAAGGTGTGGCCCTCGGAATTAAGGCAGCAGGTGCCCGTTTTCTAACACGGTTTAAAGTCTATATGGGGGACCTACTGTAGGTGGTTAGGGCCGGGGCAACTCAGCATCTAGATTCGATTCTTTTGTCCTTTGCTGTTGAGCTAGATGTAGCCGGTTCTTCTGACTTGAGACTCTAGATGTGAATGCTTTTGTGTGGGACTATTTTAAGACGTTCTCTGCCATCTTGAATGAAAAAAATCGGGCGAGTGTTTCTGATGCCATTTTTCTATCAGACACAGGTCAAAACTCGCACCCCTGTACATATATGTATTGCATATGTACGCTTTACTTTTATTCATCCAACTAGATTTTAAGAAAATTTAAAAATGAGGTGGCTCGTGCCATACAGTGAGAAAGCAGGGCACAGACAGGACACAATGTTAAATGTTGAAATATGTACAAACTGTCATTGAAGGATTAATTTCTGTTCTTGCGGCCGCCCAGAGGCTACACCCAGTACGCAATATCCGAGGTGAATCTGTGAATTGGATTCGAAAAACTGACAGGAGAAAATATATTACGGGGAAATAGAACTGAGTATGCCAAGCTTAGGAAGTGTCAAAGTACCTGGTGTGCATTTTTACGGGGTGGGGTGTGGAGGAGGGTGGCTATGTAAAGTGCCTTGATGTGGCGAAAATGTAGAAGCAGTGGAAAATGTGGCCATTTTACCGAAACGAAGATTCTAGATATGTGGCGTTCATTAGGGAAGACAAGGGCCTGAATTTTGGAAATGAGAGAATAAGTAATGGAATAATGGCTTGGACAAACCTTTCTAAGTTAAAATCGAGGCAATGTTTACAGATTGAATGTGGTCGTTGAAGGAGAGAGAAATAGATTTCTAGAGTAAGGGTAACTGATGGATTTTTTTTTTAACCCATTATTTTTTATTTCTGGATATAATAGTAATACATGATTAAGGAACATTTTATTGTAGAAAATAAGCCCCCTCAAATTAAAATCATTCATTATCCCACCACCCAAAGATGGCCACTATTAACAGTATGGTTTGTGTTCTTACAGACTTTATTTCTATGCAAAT